CAGCAGAATCTGCCATCGTCAACATCTGCAAATTCATTGCTGCCTCCATGTCTCTCCCTTTTAAGCTCTAGCCACACTGAATTTCTTTCAGCTCATGGAACTATGACTTTTCTTATCTCCTGGCTTTTCTAAGAATTATATCCTCTGTCTTGAATATGTTTAGCTTTCTGTCTGTTAGACTGAAATTATCTTTAAGAATTATCTCAAGATATAATTTTTTCAGGTAGGCATGCATTTTCTGACACCTCGCTTAAGATATGACACCTGATTTACATTCTTATGGCTCCATATACTTCTCCTATCACAACACCCATCATCTTTATCTATTTATTTATTTCTCTGTTTTCCTAGCTAGACAGCAATTTCTGTAAATTTGCTTACCGTTGCATTCTACCATTTAGGTAACTCAGTAGGTACTCAATATATATTTAAGAATCAATAAAAGCTAAGATTTTATTTTTTTTAAGTCAAATCACTTATTTTGTTCTCTTTGGTTGCATTAATATAATATGTATTTACATTGTAAAAGTTTATATTTATCATTAGTTTACTAGACTTAGAGCCACTTATTTTGTTCTCTTTGGTTACTTTAATATATTATGTATTTGTATTGTAAAATATTATATTTATCATTAGTTTATTAGAGAATTATGTCATGAAACTTGAAAAATTTAATAATTCCAAATATTTTTATATGTGTACCCTAGAATACTCACCAGCAATGGAAATTTCTATATGAAATAAATGTGTCAGCATTTGGCTCCAAATTACACAGAATTAACCAGGAATGTGAGGAGGTAATTAGAAAATAATTCAGGGCTTAATCTCATGGTTGTTGTGTACAAGACCCCTGGAGAATGAGTTAGCATCATGTGTACATCTGTGCAAATACTGGTTAATCTAGCCAATGTCTTCAAATCTGAAGATGTGTAGTAGGTGTTTTACTTCCTACAGAAAAGTCCCTTTTCTCTGAGACATGTCTTCCTATTGCCTTTTATAAATATCAGAAGTGAGTCTTAATAACACTAAGAAGCTGAGAACATTAAGATTGGGAGATAGGTCTGTATAAGGGAGATGTGTGTGGTCAAGAAAGAGACAGAGAGAGGAGAGAAACGGAAACTGAGAGAGGTAAAAGATGGATATTGGAATATACAGACAGATCAAGAATTAATTCAAAGAAAAGTAATGTTGTCTAGCAAATAAACCTCACAAATCTGAGCAAGTCAACATTCCCAAGCTTCCCCTGTACAATGAGAATGTAAGTGAGGTGAGGATTGATTGGAGATGTGGTTAAGTGTTTTGTAGTTATCTGACACTAGATGCTTTGAGAGGGAAGAATTAAAGTACAAAATGGGATGAGAATCTCTTTTGAAGTAAGTAGCATCAAGAACTTAAAACAAGGACACTACAAAATAATGAGGTTTGAGGTAAACAGCATTTTTTACCTCTAAGAATAGCATGTACTTGAAATTCTCCTTTCCAAATGTACAATAATAAAGTAAGTATATGTTTGATTAGAGAATGAACAAAGTAAAAATAATTTTAAATTAGGATCACAACACAACTTTCCAAACAAATACAGACACATTTATTTCTTTCCTTTAGAAATTAAAAACAAGAAGATTTAGAACTTCATCTAATCACAAAATTCATATGGTTTAAAAGGTCAGAAAAACCTTAGATACTCCTCCATCTTTGGGAGATTAATGTGAAAGTAAAAATACAGCAATAGTGACAGCTCTAACTTTTGTCTTTTAATATCTTACATTAAAATACATATAACTTTTGTATTTAAAAGAAATAAAATTCTAGCACACTGTGCTTTCTGCACTGGTGCTACCTAATAGTAGGGAAACAACAACAACAAAAAGAAGTAGATTTTTAAAACTAAAATGACAGGATAATCTTCAATAGTCTAAAGTTTCCTTTATTTTGTTTCATTGATTTTTAAGATATGAAAAAAATCTAAAGTTGGTTAGATATCAAAGGCATTGTTTTTGTTTTTATTCAATAAATGTTTAGTATGACCTTATTCTATGTAATAAAATATGGAGCTGAGAAAGGGGTAGTAGAAATGCAAATAAAGTAACATATCTGTTCCAAAGAACCATCTAACCTGAAAAAATATGTTGTTTTTTTTTACTATTCTCTCATCCTTTAAAAATATTATTTCACAAAATAGCAAAGTTGAATTTAAGAAACTATAGACATTTTAAACTTTAAGGGCATTTGTTTTATATTATTTTAATCTTATAAAACCAATTGGCATAACAAATACACTATGCTAAATGGTAAAGCAAATAAAAGCTGGGTGTATTTCTTCCAAGAACTCCTAAGTAGACCTCATGGAAGAATGAGGTTGCTTGAAACATATCACAAAAAATGTATTGCTTAAGATAATAAAGTATAACTGCCCTATTTCAGAAGTACTTATAATAACAAATCTGAATAAAAATTCTGTAAGCATTTGATTCCCAAAGTCTCACTGAAGTATATGGAATATTATAGTGTGTTTAATTTTTAAATTGTTGCTGCTAATACTATCATTCTGCTGATAAAATGGTAAATATGGAATTATTGTTTAAAAATATTGCCAAAAGTATTCAAGTATTTATTTTTAAAATTGTATGAAGATACTTTTTTAAAAAATTAATTAAATACATTTGCTTCTTCAACTGTAGATTTGACTCTTTCACAGTAGCAACAAGAGCATTATATACTACAAATCGAAGACACTGCCATATCTGGGGTTAGTGGGCTTAACTAAATATATTTTTATTTTATTTATATATTCCTATTAGAAATATTTATGTCTATAATTTTCTTCAGAGCTATAGACTTTCCTAAGGATATGATTCTCAGATTAAACTGTAAAACTCACTGTATATATTTGGAGACTGAGTTAAAGTGGTTACAACAGTTTAAGTTCTATGGCACTGTATCAAACCCTCTTAAAAAAGAGCATGTTAATATAAACCTTGTAAAAGATTTATCTTTGAAATGAATTAATGTACAAGGTACTTTTCAGTAGTCATATATAATTAACTTTTTTAGATTTAATACATTCATACTAATGTAATATAAAAAGGCATTTAAAAAATAAAGCATATTAAAATCTAATAACTAGTGGCCAAAAACAGAAGTTAATGGTTTTAATTACTAGAGGCCTGGTGCATGAAAATTCGTGCACTAGAGTGGAGTCCCTCATCCTGGCCTAACCCCCTCTCACAGTCCGGGAGCCCCCAGAGTTAGGAGGCAACCTGGTAATCAGGGGAAGGCGACACCCCCATCACATCTCTGCTGCTGCCACTGCTGGCAGTGCAAGCCTCGGCCGCCTTGGTTACCTGAGCCTCAAGCTGCCCTGGGCAGCTGAGCAGCCACCATCCAAGGCTGGCCTGCACATTGGGCCGGCACTGGGTGGCTGAGCAGCCGACAGCCAAGGATTGCCTGCACCTCGAGCCAGCCCTGGGCGGCTGGGGGCTGAGGGGATGGAGACTCTGGAGGCAGGCGCCCCAGTGGGCTTAAGGGACTGGGCGCCGCCATTTTGTGGCTGTGGGCACCGCCATCTTTGAGGGCCTGGCATTCAATTAGCATATTCCCTCCTTATTGGCTGTGGGCACCACCATCTTTGCGACAGTGTGAGGGCCAATTAGCATATTCCCTCTTTATTAGATAGGATCCTTTCATTCATTGAAATAATAATGATTGACCTCCTACTATGCATAAAGATGATTCTTATAGATGCTATTATTTTTCTGCTTCAAAACTATTTTTCAGAAGTTATAGAAATCTCCAAGTTTCCCAAGGTTTATGCTAGTTGACAGAACTTTAATGAAAAACATGTTTGGTTTTCCTATATAGATCAGATATAGACCCTTCTTATGCTTCTTGGTATTGAGCTGAAAGAAACACATTGAAATCTATCAAACTAAATCATGGTATTATCTTTAACCAGAGAGAAAAGTCTTTATACAAGTTTACTTAGTGGTAAATTATTTAAAGCACAGCTATTTTCTTAATGAGGAACTATTTGGAAATTATGGAAGTTATCCAGAATTTATAATTATACATGTAAATGAAGTACTTCACATGAAAAAACCCACACATTTTGAAATATGATCAATGACTATTTAATATCTATAAAGCAAAGTTTTTTGAGAAGACTGTGAAGAACAATGTAGCTAGAATATTGGCTTCTTTCATATAGTTATAGTGTTAGAAAAGTAAAAATTAGAACAGCTACAAAATACTGATAATATTATCAGTTGCTAAAATTAAGTTCTGTTTTATTTAGAGTGACTATTGAATTTGAATAAATTGACTTAAGCATGATTTTCTATTGTGAATATAAATGTGAATAAATTTATATTAATATTGGAGAGATAAGAAATTTATCATATTCCAGTAGCACTTGTAGTGCCTTTAAAGTATAGTGTTAACCATTAAAATGTACTAAAATTACTTATTAAGAACACCAATAAAATATAATTTAAATATAAAATGGAAATGATAAAATTGAGAGTCCTACAGAGGAGTAAATAATTAGCAACATACAGCAATTTTATACAGAACTAGAGGCCCAATGTATGAAATTCGTGCACGGGAGGAAGGGGGGTCCCCTCAGCCCAGCTGCACCCTCTCCAATCCGGACCCCTCGGATGATGTCCAGGAGACCGGGCCTAAACCAGCAGTCGGACATTCCTCTCACAGTCCTGGACCGCTGGCTCCTAATCACTCACCTTCCTGCCTGTCTGGTCGCCCCTAACTGACCCCCTGCTGGCCTAGTCACCCCATGCAGCCTGCTGCTCAGTCATTTGGTCATCCCTCACTAACCCCCCTGCCAGCCTGGTTGTAGGCAGCCATCTTGTGAGGGTGTGATGGTCACTTTGCATATTACCTCTTTATTATATAGGATACCTACAATGCACCACAGCCAACTTTGCCAGCCACTCATGGAAACCAAGAGAATAACCACTGAAATGCGTAAATCTTGCACTTACCAACCTCCACAACACTAGAGCAGTTGGGATCTGTGAAGCCGTCCAGACACTCACAGGTAAAGGAATCTTCAGACAGGCCTGGCAAGCAGATGCCCCCATTTTCACATGGATTGGGGTCACAAATATCACCTGAGGAATAAAGAAACAAACTTTCACTTTTTTATTTTTGTCTTAGTACTGAAATGCACTATTTCACATACCCCTCTCATCTTCCTCTGGCAAAGTCACCCTACAATTCAGATCTACAGATAATGTATGCAAGGCCCATTTGAAACCACGTGCTTTTAAGGAAGATGGTATGTCACATAGCAAATATTAACATTTATAATTCAAACAACTCATACTGAATTGCACAGTGAAAGCTATTAATTTAGTTTCGAGTTCCTTCATTACATGCCAAAGAAATACTATCTAATTTGCTAAAGATTAACTGAAATATGTATGGTAGACTGGTTTATTAATTATGCCAATAAATAACCTTTCAATATCCACATACGTTGCTCTGTAACTTTCCAATTCCCCTCATTAAATGGGTGAGTTTATTGCTGGATCCTAGACTCTGGGCTTGTTCCTGTGACTTGCCTTGGCTAGTAGAAACTAGCAGATTTGAAGCCAGCAGAGTTCAGAAAACACTCTTGAGTATTTCCACTCCCTCTCTTGGCACCCTACCATGTTTTGAGAATAAATTCTGGCTAGCTTACTGGAAAGAGGTAAGTTAAACGTGTAAGGATAAAAGAGAAGCTACCTAGAAAAAAAGTTGTGCCATAACGAAGGCCTAAAATATGTGCCCTTGGCTTGGAACTGGGCAGCAAATAAAATGTGGAAAGGCACTGAGAGAACAGCTCTCGGAAGCTAGAAAAATGGCTATCCCTACTATGTAGAGAGAAGCTGCCACCTGAGGAAATGTCCGTGGTGGAAAATGCACCTAATCAACTTTTGTATACAAGCAATGAGATTCCCAGGCAGAATGTGGAAGTGTCAGCTGGCTCTTAGTAGTCTCATTTGATAAGGTACTGTAAGAGGCGTGCTAAATAAAGGACTGATGAGTCTGAAAGTACACAAAAGTAATATGGAGGGACCAGAACTTGTGGTAGAAACTAAAGCTCTTTCTCAAACCCTGGCCTCTCAAACAAGTGAAAAATTAAGTCCAGGTCAGAAAAACATGGCTTCAACGTAAGTATCAAATCAAGGCTATGACTATAAGATTCTTTGTGAAAACATTTCAAATAATTCAGATGCAACTTGAAAGACTCTCTCAGGTAATTCATAGGGTTTCTAGAAATCTGAAGGATATTATCCCTGAGCCGTCTGGCAGACCCAAGCATTCAATCTCAAGTGAAAACAGGCATCAGACAGTCATGGGTGTGGCTTTATTGCACAGAGAGGATGTGAATCAGAATCAGAAAAGCCTGTACCGTGTGTAGGGGACCTTGGTAGGTGAAAGTACCACCTCCTAGATTAAGAGAATAAGGCTTTTTATTTATTTTATTTTATTTTTTAATATATTTTTATTGATTTCAGAGAGGAAGGGAGATGGAGAAATAGAAACATCAATGATGAGAGAGAATCATTGATCGGCTGCCTCCTTCATGCCTCCTACTGGGGATCGAGCCTGCAACCTAGGCATGTGCCCTTGACCAGAATCGAACTCAGGATCCTTCAGTATGCAGACCAACGCTCTATCCACTGAGCCAAACCAGCTAGAGCAGAGAATAAGGCTTTTTAAAAGTCAAAAATGCATCTGGCCCCAACTCCATAACACTTTACATTTGTTAAGGACTTTATTCCCTACTAGAGGCCTGATGCACAAAATTTGTGCAAGAGTAGGCCATCCTTCCCCCGGCTGCTGCACCAGCTTCCCTCTGGCACCCAGGATTCAGGATTCCCACCAGCACCCTGGATCTGGAGTTCCCTCCAGCCACTGGCACCTGGGACCCGGGCTTCCCTTGCAGCCTGGCTTTGTCTGGAAGTTTGTCTGGAAGGATGTCTGGTCTAATTAGCATATTATGCTTTCATTATTATAGATAGGAGTTTTCCCTTGAATTACTTCATCTCTTTTCTCAGCTAGCCACTTTAAAATTATAGAAAAATGGCGGGTGCCCGGCTAGCTCAGTCGTTAGAGCATGAGACTCTTAAAATTATAGAAAAATGAAAATGGAGGTTAAGATTATTGTCAAATTTATAAAGCAAGTCATTAGCTACACTAGATAATATATAAAAATACTACATCAGCACTGAAGCAGATATTAGAAAAGAGTCATGAAATAAGTGAATAAATGAATTAATATGTTTTGAGGACACTGCCAACTGTAGGAGGGCTGGATCATGGAGTATTTGTTTAGGAATAGCTGAGAAAGTGTAAATAGGTCAGATCAGAAAAGATTAAAAAGTGACCAATGTAATTTACAAGATGAAGAGCCAATGGATATTGTTACATGTATATTAAAGTTTTGACATGAGCATATTTATATTTTGAGAAGACTATCATGACAGCATTCTATAGAGTACAGTTGAATGGGAAGGTTGACAACTGGTAAAGATACTTCAATATACTTTTTTTCTACCTTTTATATTTCTAGCTAGCTTAGTCACTCAGCTATCCCTCCTTTGTCCATTCATTTGCCCATCTATTCTTTTATTCCTTGAGTACCTATTTTACGGTAGGCACTTAGGTAAGTTGGACATACAGAACTAAAGACAGACTTTACCACGAAGAAGTACAGTGCTTACCAGGTGAGATAAAAAAAATCAGCACAGAGTAACAAGAGTTATGATTAGTGTACATGATCCAAATTGTAGGGTCAATGGAGACTTCTAAAAATATGCAGTGCTATCAGGTGATATAGCAGAGGAGGTGCATGGCCAACATTCCAGGCAACAGGAATTACATACACAAAGGGAAAAGATCATGGCTCATTCCAGGACCTTCTAAGTTGGCCCCCACAATTAGAGGATAGTTTTATGTGAGCAATCAAGAGAAATAAGTTCAAAAGGCTTATTTGGGCCAACATTTTTAAGTTCACCTTCAAGCAGTGGAAAAATCATAAAAGAACTTAATGCATGACAAAGCAAGTAGTCAAATTTGTGTTTTAGAATGATGACTAAGGCAGCATTGTGTTGGGTCAGTTGAAGGCTGAGAGCAATTCTCCCAAATCAGTACCATCCCTCCCCCAGATAATTAATCTAGAGCAAAGGAATTAGCGTTGAAATTTTCTAGAAGACTGAATTACCCAATTTAAAGGGAAACCATGTCTCTCTGCCTTTGGTGTGAACAAGGCAGCTCAGCTTTGTACAGTCAGAAGAATAACACTACCATCTCCGAACTCTGCACTGAATGGAGATGACCATGAATGAGGGAACATTTTTTGATGAGACATGAGTCAAAATTCTGTGTATTGTAAATACTACATACTAGAAAAGAGGAATTCTACATCCCCCAGACTAGATCTGCTGTTGCACCAGATAGAGGCATGCTGAAGTTGTTTCTATTGCTTTATTTACACTGACAGAGGCAATGTCTCCAGGAGAAAGGCAAGGCATGAACAGAATCCTAGAGGTTCTCAAGCATACTCTCTGTATGTATCAACTTATCCAAAACCAAGAACCTCTCATTCTGACCCCTCTCACTCCTACAGCCAAGTTCCTGCATAGTTTGTTCACTGATGTGATCTTACAGTCCAGATACCCCAAGAGCCACGTGAAGCTATACTGTCTGGTTCCTTTGATTATCCCATCATTATGGGTAGTTTTGGTGTCCGAAGAAAACTCTCTTGTTACTCTGTTGCCCTTTCAAGGTGATAATACTTAATCTAACGGGTCTCCTACCAGGTGTGTATGCCAGTCACATAATGCTTCTGTGGTCAAAATGAGACAGGATGGTCTGCTTACCTCTAATTATATCTTGTGGATTCCAGCTGCTGTTGAGCTGACCTATTTTTTCTCATCCTTGTACTTTTTGTTCTTTTTGCTTATGTCCACTTATTTCTAAGAAACTATATACTTGTAAAAATTCATTTATCCTCACTATTGATATTTACCTAGCATCTTTTTGAAAGATAGAAAAGAATAGATTTGACAAAAAATGATGTACAAGGTAATCAAGATGACATTGTGCCCTAACCAGTTTGGCTCAATGGATAGAGCGTTGGCCTGCAGACTCAAGGGTCCCAGGTTCGATTCCAGTCAGGAGCATGTACCTTGGTTGCAGGCACATACCCAGTAGGGAGTGTGCAGGAGGCAGCTGATCGATGTTTCTCTCTCATCAATATTTCTAACTCTCTATCCCTCTCCCTTCCTCTCTGTAAAAAAATCAATAAAATATATATAAAAGATGACATTGTGACCAAATTAATGTGAGGGTTGAGGGAGAGCAAGAAATCTGGTTTGACTGATTTCTAGAGCTCCTCCCTGGATGACTGAGTGGCCATCTTTTATAAGAAAATATATTAGGTTTCAGTTTAAAGGAATTATTGTGTTTGAGAAGTCTGTGGAATATCGAAAATAAAAATGTCCATAAAGCTAATAATTAAGCAGATATACGATTGGAAAGGTTTTCAGCACATGAATTGTTAAGTATGAATGTGGAAATTATATTTCAGGGAGAGACCTTGAAGGGAGTGCAGAACAGGAGAGGAGAGGGGAGCAGAGAGGTAAAAGGAGGAGGGGAGAGGTCCTTGGGAACACCAACAAATAAGTAAAGAAAAGAAAGAAGATTCATTTTAAAAAAAGGAAGAAAAGAACATAGGGGTTCACCTTTCTGATGGGAGTTTCTGTTTCCTTGGGATATATTCCTAGAAGTGGTATTACTGGGTCAAATGGCAGTTCCATTTTTAATTTTTTGAGAAAACGCCATACTGTTTTCTACTACGTAGCTGTAAAAAAGAAGGAACTCTTACCATTTGCAACAGCATGGATGGAAATGGAAAGCATTATGCTAAGTGAAATAAGCCAGTCAGAGAAAGATAAATATCACATAGTCTCACTCATTTGTGGAATATAAAGAACATCATAAACTGATGAACAAAAATAGATACAGAGACAAAGAATCATCGAACAGACTGTCAAACTATAGCAGGAAGGCAGAAGAGGTTTGGGGGGTGGTAAGAGATCAACCAAAAGACTTGTATGCATGCATATAAGGAAGGAAGGAAGGAAGGAAGGAAGGAAGGAAGGAAGGAAGGAAGGAAGGAAGGAAGGAAAGAAAGGAAGGAAGGAAGGAAGGAAGGAAGGAAGGAAGGAAGAAGGAATTCAGTGCTAGGCCCTTTTCATTCCAGGATGAATATTCAGTCTATTCACTGAGGGTCTAGTATGCCAAGGTCTGCCTGAAATTAATAAAGGCCCCATGTATACCTGTGTTAGATGGACAATGTCAACAAAAAACAATGTTTTAG